CACACCCCCACACACACACACACACACACACACACACACACACACCTTACCTTGCACCCTTCATTCCAACGATTCTACAGCGCTTCCTTCTCACACCCTAGCTGTGCCCCCAATCCCACACCAACCCACCAAGCAAACCAGGGGCCCTCTGCTAGTCACATCCACTTTTAGACCCCTCCCCCTGAGTTGCTCTGTGGGAAGGTCGCCGTTCTCCATCTGGAGATGGGAAGACTGAAGCCCAGAGGGGGGTAGCACAGGCCCACACCTTATGGTGCTGGGGGAAGCAGCTCGGGGGAGATGGTAAGCAGCAGGAGGAGGAGGAAGTGGTGGCACTCTGGGACAGCTGGCACAGGTGCAGAAGGCACAACCCAGGCCGGGAATCAGGTGAGGGGGAGGAGAACGGTAGCCTGAGGAGTCCATGCCAGGAGGAGGGCTTCCTGCTTTAGCCAGCCTTGGGCAGCCACCGGAAAATCGGGTTTGGCAGCTTCAGCCCTGTGCTGCGCTGAACTGTTCTGCCGGAAGGGCTGGAGGAGGGGGTCCAGATTGCTCCTGGGAGGTGGCCTGGGGCACGTCATCCTCTTCAGAAACAATGAAGTTCAGGGAACATTTTGAGATCTTTTGGAATGTAAGAAGAACAGTTCTAGCCTGGAAGCACCCCTCTTTCGCCCTAAACCCTTCTGTGATGCTTTACCAGTCCTGGTTCCTTTCTTTCTTGGCCAGAGAGTCCCTAAAGGAAGGGGCTTTTTGAGATCAGGTTCCCTGTAAGTTTTTCTGGGAGTCTGACTCAGGCAGGGGACAAAAAGTCAAAGAATAGGGTCTGGCTGAACCAGATGATCCCTGGGGCAGGAGGCTGGAGTTCCCTTGTCACTAACGGGTCAATCACCGGAAGCCCAGCTCCAGGCCCACAATACAATACTGGTCACCCCACCCTTACCAGTGCCCTTACCCACACCCCCACTTCCGGCTTCTGTTCCTTCCTCATCTCTGGGGAAGGCTACAGAACTCCCCAGGGAATCTCTGTGTTCCCTTGCCTGGCTCCTTGCCCTGGCTGAGCCCCCCCTCCCCTGTTACCCATTCAGCAACACCAGTCTCTCGCTAAACTCTTACCCTGGACTCTGGGACAAGCCAGGGAGGAAGGACTCTGAAGGAGATTGCTTCTCCTCAGGTTCTGGACCTTAGATAAAGGGCTTGAGGGACATAGGGTGGGTGGTCTGCGTGCTGGGGTTTAGCTTTGGATTTCCCTGTGGCCGAAGGAAGAATGGAAATCCCTCTCTTTCCCTATCCATCTCCTTCTTCTGCCTTTAGTGGAACCCACAGAAGAAACCCCAGCGTTGAAACCCAACTTGGAGAAAATAAACACAAAGACTCGGGCCAAGCAGGCACTGGTTGTTGTTACCATATCAACCACAAAATTTGTGAAACATACACAAAATCATGAAATTTTGGATTCATAGAGTCCACAGTCATAGGATCTTGGCATCAAAGAGTTTTACTATAAAAATTTTAGAAGATGAGGAATCTAGAATGGTGGGGAAGTCCTATATTCAGGTGGATGCCTAAGTCAGATTTTCTGCTGCAGATCAAAAAGCAGCTCATGCATGTGCTCAGTGGGAGAGGCAGGCAGCCTACTGTGCATGAGGTTAGACTGACATAATAACTGCCATAAACTGGATAGACATAGACTTTATCCATGAAGAAGAGTTCCCGAGCACAGGGGAAGTGAGTTGCAGGTGGAGATAGAGTGGCTATAAAAATAATGAAACAACCTAAAAAAAGAATCCATGGTTGGGTGTGGTGGCACACAGCTGTAGTCCCAGGATTTAGGAGGCTTGACGGGAAAATCAATCACTTGAACTCATGAGTCTTATACCAGCCTGAGCACCATAGCAAGACCCTCATCTCAAAAAAGGGAAAAGAAGAAAGAAAAAGGAGTGGGGGTATCAACAAGAAGCTTTAACACAGCAGCCCGGCCCTAGTACCTCCAGCTTCTCTATGACTGGGTTTAGCTACAGCCAAAGACATTTCTGAAGGTTAGCAGGGTGCAGTGGATCAGGAGGAGTTCAAGGCCAGCCTCAGCTATATAACGAATGTGAGGATAGCCTGGACTATATGAGTCCCTGTCTCAAAAAAACAAAAACAAAAACAAAAAATACCCAACAACAACAAAAAAAAAACCCAAAAACAAAAATGAAGTTGGGTGTTGGTGGTGCCTGCCTTTAATCCCAGCACTCGGGAGGCAGAGGCAGGCAGAGCTCTGTGAGTTTGAGGCTAGTCTGGTCTACAGAGCTACACAGAGAAACCCTGTCTCGGAAAAAAAAAATCAAAACAAAAACCCCCCAAAACAAAAGAAAACAAAAACACGCCTGGCATGGTGGCATACTCCTCCAATCCCAGCACTCAAGAGGCAGAGCTTGAGGCCAACCTGGTCTATATAACAAGTTCTAAGCCTGCCAGGGCTATATAGTGAGACCCTGTCTCAAAACAAAACAAATCCACCAAAACAGAATCAAAAACATTTTGTAAGGTTACAGGGGAGTCCTTACTATATTGCAGGTCAATAACCCCAAAGCAGGCTATTTCTTATGGTTTCTGGGAGATGCAGACTTTATTCAAAGATGCTGATCCTTGATTTACATCAATGCCACATGTATTCCAGGTAGTGGGGTTCAGAGTCCCCACAGCAAGGTCCTGAGAGAGAGTCTTGTTGAAGGCATCTATCTGAGATGGTACTTAGAAGAGCTGGGCA